GCAGAGGGCCAGCAAAAAGAGGAAGACCCTCAGGGAGATGGACTGACACAGTGGCTGCCACATGGGCAGGCTCCCTGCGTCGTCTAATTTCCTCCATCCCAATTTCCCTACTGCCGTTGCTTCAGTTCTGATGATCCTTCTCCTTGTTCTAACAACCGAGTCTTTTCCAACAAGTCCTTTGCCTCATCTCATTCCTTTACGATACACCCACCACCACAGTGCCAATGTTCTCCCTGGAGTGCAAATCTGCTCGTCCTTTCCTTCCTTAAAATCCTCCGACGATTGTTTTCTGGCTAATGTCCACACTTTTCAGCTTGGCCCTAAATCCCTTCATGACTTGTCATCTGTTGACTTCTCTCCCCTCCACACCTTCTGTCAGCTTGTCACACTGGGTGGCTTACTGGAAACTATGCAAACGGTCTTTCAAATGCTGGCATGTCACCCATGGTGGACAAGTTTCAGCAGAGCTTCAAGATGTAAGACCTTCCAGGAAGGCAGACTTGGCACGATACTCTACTTCAGAAAAAAAAGTTGTTAATGAAGACCTTGTGAACAACCGTAGTACATTTTCTGTTAAGCATGCAGGCAGACAGACCCCTCAGAGTTGAAAGACACTGAGAACACGACTGGGGAAGAGCTGCCTATAAAGTGAACAGAACTTAATGAAGACAGAGAGCTGGCGGGACCTTGACCTGCTGACGTGCCATGACTAAAGGTAAGAAGGAACGGCTGGATACAGCCATTAGGGTAAGAACATAGCCTGTCCTGTGCCAAGGATGGAACTAGCAAAACTGGGAGATGTTCAAAATGAAACCAGATGCAAAGATCAATAGGGAGCTGAGATGAACCAGTCCAACAGACGGAGCTGAACAGTCACATGGCCTTCTATGCTGGGAACGACAGCCTGTGGAGGAGCAGACGGACATTGTTTCGTCAAAAAAACGTGTCAAGGTCTGGATCTAGCCTGACATACAACACTGCCAGTGACCGGAATAATACTATAACAAGGAAGACCAGTTAATATGACTATCATTAAGATTTATGCACCAACCATTAAGTTGCATGAGCCCCCAATAAAATGATTTAAAAAAAGAAAAGAAACAAGATGCCATCAAAATAGTTGGAGAGTATCTAGCTCAGAAGCAACAAAGCCCACGTGGGAAGAAGCACACTAGCCTGTGCGATCACGAGGTGCCGAAGGGATCAGGTATCAAAGAACAAAAAATCATATCATTGTGAATGAGGGGGGTAGTGCAGAGTGGAGACCCAAAGC